AGCATGAGGTTTTGTGATCGTGATTATCATTCATATATATCGAGGATTCCCCATCATATCTAAATTGAATGGAAATGTGGAAACATTGGATAGACGCAAATAGTCTTGCCAAGTTAGTTGATTGTGTGTTGGAAAGCTCTAAACAAGATAACTTTGGTTGTGGGGGAGTTTATATTGAGGATAAAGTTAAAAATATAAGCTTTAATGTCAAGCAATGCCTCCTCAAGGTTGCAGATGGCCATTTCCCCACTGTCGTAAAAGTGTTGGGATCACCCAGAGTGGCCCCTTATAATGAACATACAATGAAGGCTTTGGAGGCTAAGCTCCCGTACAAACCACCTCCCTCCATGCCGACCACCTTTTTCTCAGAAGCCTCCCTAGGGGATGATTTGGATATTATCTTCAAGTAAATTTTCCTAAGGGACATCATGTGGTAGAGATGGTTTGCGTGCTCAACATATATTAGATACATTGTATGAAGAAGGTTATGTTGTGGAAAGAGATTTTTTATACACAATCACTCTAGTTACTAAGTTATGGCTAAGATGAAGATGTCCCATGATATTGGCAGAGTTTGTTGCCTCTGGACCCTTGACACCGTTATTAAAGCTTCATGGTGGAATACGGCCAATTGTTGTGGGTTTCATTTAAAGATGGTTGTTACCAAAGGTTGTTATGAAAGAGGTTAGTAAAGATGTGGCACATTATCTCAATGACTTTCAGTTTGGGATTGAGGTATCGGGTGGTGCTGAGGCCATTTTGTATTGTGCCAATAGGGTGTTAAGCATGCGACACAAAGATGGTTCCTTGACTACGCTCACTGTATATTTTTTTGAAGGCTTTCAACATGGTAGATCGATCAGCCATATTGAGAGAGGTAAGGGTGAGATGTCTATCTATTTATTTGTGGATTGAGTTTCTTTATGGCCAAGCAGCAAGGTCGTACCTTGAGGGTGGACATATTATGTCAGCCACTGGAGTGCAACAATTGAGCTGTTAGGGCCACTCTTTTTTGCTCTTATGTTACACCACTCATTCATTAGGTTAAAGACAATTGTAAGCTTCTTCTTCATGTATGGTATCTCGATGATGAGACTTATAGGAGATTCATAGGAGGTGGCTAAAGCCCTTGACATCATTCTAGAAACAGGTCCAAGATTAGGTCTCGAATTGAATATTCTTATGATTGGGATCTTTTGGCCTTCATGTGATGGTAGTAAAAAATTCGTGAAGATTTGTTACCATCAACGTTGGGAGGTCAATGCTGGGGATGAAGTTGCTTGGAGTGACTGTTAGTTGAGATGGCGACTTTATCAAGGGGTTGACCATGAAAAGAGCTTTCATGACTATTGAACTAATGCATCTTCTACCGCAACTAAGGAACCCTTAAAGTGAGCTTTTTCTACTTCGGTCCAGCATGGGTATTGCCAAATTATTTTTTGGTCTAAGAACGTGTCAATTTAGTCATATGGAGGAAGCATCTATTTGATTTGATAAAGAGTTGTGAAGGGCGGTTGAAGACATTATAGTTGGTGGAGGTCCTTTCTTCGGGGACCTTCAATGGAGGGTGACTTCTTTACCAATTAAGGCTCGGGTCTAGGTTTGTACTTGATAGTAGAAGCTGCCTCATACGCTTTTTTGGCTTCTATGGTCCAATCTTTGGTATTACAAGATTATATATTGAGAGACCTGGTGGTATATAGTATGAACTCAAATTTAGGCATAGTTTTGGATGGTATTAGTGTTGCGATTTCAAATTTTGACTTTAACAGATTTTCGATAATCAATATATTTTTATATCATTTGTCTTTGACACTTTTATTTTCTTAGCATCATAAGCACTTGATCTTTTATAAAAAGTTCAAAGACTTATGAATAACAATATTATATCTTCTAAATATATTAACATAATTTTTAAAAGAATTAATTTTACCATCTAAAAAAGAATAACAACGTAGCTTGTTGTTCATTGGTCTTCAATTTATGTATAAACTTCAAATTCTTTTTAGGCACAATTCCTTGATATTGAAGTCTCTCAGAGCATGATTATCGGTGTTCTTTGAGAGTTCCTATATATTTATTAAAGAAATTGTGTCAATAATAAATGGATATTTCACTTGTTTTCACGTTCCTGAACTAAAGCACGTCCTCATACTAAAACACGCTTCTACACTCTAATTAAGTGGGTCATGATAATAAATTAATAAATAAAATTGCAAGAATGTAGTTGATTTGTTTTAAATGTGGGACCCATTTTAGATTTTTTGATGAGTTACATGGATATTTGAGAATTGTAGATGAGTTGTTTAAAAAATTAAGAAGTGTGAAATAATATAAAAAATTATATGAGTCTCATTTAAAGAACTCAAATAAATATGATGGATGTAGATGCTCTCAGTTTATCAATCATCCATAGTAGATTGAATTTAGAAAGAAAAACAACAACCAAGACTTCATGCAGACAAGACAATTAAAAAGGGATGGAGTAATTGAGTCACTACTATTTATTCACAACAATGAACCCAATTTCTCATCACAACTTTCAAGTTTTCCCCTTCATAGTTCCGAACCTTCCATAAAAACGATTACATATCAAAATGGGCCAAAAAGATATCTACTGAGAGACAAAAGAAAAGGAAGAAAAACAAACACTACTTTCTCCCTCCACACATATAATATTATCACTATTTGACTCTGTTGAATTTCCAAAAGGGAAAAATAACACATAAATAAAAAATTTACTATATCTACGGAATATAACCTCGAGATATACAACGTGAGAAAGTGACCGTAAACAAGAATGGCAAAGCACCATGGTTCATATTAAAAAGTAGATTTTGCTGAGATACAAACAGAGAGACAAAGACAAAACAAAAATAATAATAATAATAGTAATAATGCATTAATATTTTCATCTACATTAGCAGTGATAGTGATGAGTGATGACATTCAATTCTCCCTCAACCCGACACAACATTTAATGTCGTTTGTTGAATAATAATACAGGTTTATGTATCATACCACAACCATTATTTTTCTCTTTTTAACCTATGAATCACAACCTCACATAAAATGTTGGTGACCCCTTCTCATGTCATTCTCTCATAATTCTCTTTCCTTTCACGCCTTTCTTTGTAATAACTGCTATGTTTTTATTCATGAATATGGAAAAAATGTAAAGTTTTTGACCCATACTGGGTGCTGCTCAAACATAGCATGCATATACACTTCTCGGATATATTTATAAATAATAAGTTTTTTTTTATTTTTAAATTTATTAAATAATTAATATATCTGATATATAATAATAATTAAATATATTATTTATTCAATAAATTTTTTTAAAAATTTATTCTTTATAAATGTGTCCAGAAAATATACATCAATATAAGTAGATCATTTAATTATGAATATGTATAGTAGACTCTTTTAATTTTCTAATAAAAGAAAACAATTTGAAGATTGCTATCAACAATATAACAATATAACTAGAGCCATAGAAACTATTTATTTTGTGGGTCAAGTAATTTATCGGTCGAAATTTTATATTTTTAAAGATAAATACATAAGATGTAGCAGATTTATATTTGCATATTTTAAATTGCAATTTATGAAATATGTTAAAACTTTCATTTTTACAACACAAAGCATATACATCAATATAAGTACATCATTTAATTGTGTATACATTATAGTCTCTATTTTATATATATATATATATATATATATATATATATATATATATATATATATATATATATATATATATATATATATATATATATATATATATATATATATATATATATATATATATATATATATATATATATATATATATATATATATATATATATATATATATATATATATATATATATATATATATATATATATATATATATATATATATATATATATATATATATATATATATATATATATATATATATATATATATATATATATAAAATAATCATCATATTTGAACTATCCAATATATTATTTATTAAATAAATTTTTTTGTAAGAACAACCTACAAATTAAGTAAATATATATTAAAAGAAAACATACTCATTGTTGGAGGAGATACTAGGAGCATTGATATATAGTGTAAAAATAAACACTTTTATGAGAGACATATCACTTATCCACCTAAAACCTTAAGATGATAGGTATTCATAATATTCTGAGTCTACAATGCTCTTTCGGTCCTTTTTCAAACCAAACATTCATGATACCATGTTAAGGAGAGTTACTAGGAACATCAATATATAGTATAAAAATAAATACTTTTGTGAGAGACACACTATTTATCCATCTAAAATATTAAAGTGATAACTTATATAGGCTTAAGTTTTCATTTTTCTATTCAATATAAGACTATTTCTCCACTTAATCACGCTTACTATATTATTCCAATATTCATTTCGTTAAAAAATTGTATATTTAAAGATAATACATAAGGTTGTAACAAAACAATATTGACAAATGTCAATATTGATATTGTTATTCACCCTTTTTATAATAAAATATAAATTGTGATTAATTTATGCCACAACTACTTTGATGAATGTTATGTCACTAATCTCTATACCCATCAAAAATCGAAAAGTCCAGAATACCTCGATAGCTAGTACCATAGAAAAAAGGACAAGCAAAAATTAAGTAAATAATATTAAAAGAAAATACACACATTGCATCAAAAAATTAAGTGTATATTTAGAATGCGTTTCACAAAATTACTATGATTTTGTCAAAACTTCAAAATGTGGCTTTTACAAACACAACATGATTCTCCCAAAATTAACTTTTAATCTAAATATACACTAAATACATGTTTAGATTGACGAACTTTTAATCTAAACATGCATTCTAAACATAGTCTAAATGACCTAAACTATGTTACATATGTTACTTCATGGAACGAGATTAAGGTTGTCTTTTTCTATATCCATTCCATGATGTCTTGCTGGTTGAAAAATGTTGATGATTCTCTACTACCTGTTGTGTAATGGATTTGGACCTGTAGGAACAACCCTTTTGTCTTCTGATGATGACGTGTCATTGTAGCAAGAAGACACGTGTACTTTCTTGTGGTTTTTGCATCTATGAACAGGATCATCAAGTACTGCCACACTACTATTGTTCTTGTTCTTCTTGTTAGCTCCATCAAACAAATTTCCAACAAAAACTGTCTTCCTTGCCGCCATTGTAGTTGACCCAATAAAAGCCCAAAACAAAATGCACATCACTAGTAACACCTCTAGTAATTTCATCTTCTTAACTTATATATTAAGCTGAGTTCAAAAATATATATAATGAATGGTGGCAAAGAGATGAAGGAGAAGTATAGAGAGAAAGAGGAAGAGGAAGCAAAAGGAATTGGTTTAGTGAGGGAAAGAAAGAGAGAGAGAGAGAGAGTTATGTTATGAGAATGAATGGAACATTAACTATGGTACCTAGGATATATGCAGTAAAAGACTTTGAATTTGATACATCACATCTCTATCGTCAGAAACTTCACCAAACCTCATTAATTTCACTTCAATTCTACTAGACAAAACAATAGTATAACAATAATATTTTTAAAAAAGCACAACATTCCATTTCCCAGTTAGTTACTACTACTCCACAACAACAAACAAGATTGGATTAGAGAAAACTCTTGTTGAATATGGAGAGAGGTGTAGTTATAGTAGCTATAGCTTTACCACGTGATGCTGGAATTAAGGACCATGCTTCAAAAGCTGACAATCATTGATAAAAAAAAGGAGTTTGCAGAAGAATTAAATGGGTGGTTTTGACTGTAACATAACATACTCCTAACATACTGCATTCAATTTATTTTCATCAATCAACGTTTTGCTTTTCATACACGTCTTCTTAAATCTTAACCAACGCTACTTGAACTTGTTTTGTTTATTTGGTTTGTGTTAGATTTCATATTTCACACTCACTCACTCACTCACATAAACACATGTATATTAAGTTGTAGAATATAATATTAACGTTGTTGAGTTAATTCATGTGAGAAAGAGAGACAATATGGGATGGTATTGGTGGGTTAATGAAACGACAGTTGATACTTTATTAAAGCCGGCAGTTTCTGTTAAATAGGAAGGTTAACTTAGCTATCTATCTTCCTATATCTTATTCAACTATTCTATTTACACCCACCTTTCACACTTTGAAAAGGTGTAGAGGTCAGCGCTTAAGAGAAACTATGTGACCCTTATGGTTTAGTTTGAGAATCATAGTAAAAAAACTCCAATATTTCTTGACCTATAGTAGAAGGTGTAATAGATCTAGACACATATGTGTGAATCAATTGTAAGGCATCATTACATGTGTTCATTTTTGTATTTTTACTTTTGGCAATTTGTTTCAAAGATTCATAAATGATAGGTAAGAGTAAGTTATTTAAAAATAAAAGTTTAGAAATTTATCTTTTAGGTATTTCTCTAAAAAGAATGTTTGGCATATTCTTTGATTATATTAGAAAACATGGCAGTTATATGTGTTAGAAGTACATTTTAACATCTTAAAGAAATGAAGAGAAAGGAAATGTGTTTCGAAATTATTAAAATAAAAAATTGTCTTTGAATTCGGCGGCGAGGCTCGCGCGTCGACGGATCCAATGAGATGGGACTGACGGTGATTTAGGTCGTTAATGAGCGGTAGTTTCTGATGGGTCGACATCGGTAACAGTCGGTTTTGTGTATTAGACTTGGTTGTTTTGGTTTGTAGATTAGTTTGTTAATAGGTTATGTTTTGGGCCCGTTAATTATCCATTGAGTTTTAGTAGTTATAAATATGTAACTACATCATTCTTGTCTTTACAACGTTCAAAACTTTAGATTTGTAGACAAAAATAAGGGTTTGAGAATCCTACTGATAATTTTAGAGAGGTAAAAGTAAATTTTTAAGAGTGTTTTCTTGGAAATTGAGAAGCCCTTGAAAATATCTAACAGGATTAGAAAACACTTTTAAACATGTGGGGTTTGTGTGATTCATATATAGAGATGGAGAGATTGAGAAACACTAGAAGTGGAAAATATGGTTTGTTCTTGAGAATTTGGATGATTATTTTCTTGTAACTCATTTGTAATCTTTTGTAACAATTTTTTAAAGTACAGTGAATCGAAGAGTTGTTATTTCTCCATAGTAGATTCTTTGATCGAATTTGATAAATAAACTATTGTGTTTCTTGTCTTTTATCTTCTATTGTCAAGTTAGGTTGATGTCTTATTGCATAGAAAGTTATTGTTGCTGAAGGCCATTTATTTTGGTAATCATTGTTCTTTATCCCCACTCATCAAATTTCTCATATTTCAGAACAAGTGGCGCCCACCTTGGAAAAAATGGATTTTGTTTACAAGTGAGAACCATACATTATAAATGGAAAATTAAGAAGTTGTTTAGAGACACTAATTTAGGATTGTGCAAAACGAAGATGCAAGCAATATTAACTCAGGAGAAGTGTATTGAAGTATCAAATGGTGAGACATAGGTGCCTGTACGCCTAGCAGACACAAAGAAGATTGAGATGTTAGATAACTCCAGAAGTGCAATTACCTTGTGCCTATCACTACGCCAAAAATGATTTTTTGTATCACCTAATTTAATAGCACTTTTAAAAAAAATGCTATTAAAATGGAAAAAAACACATTTATAATAGCACTTTTTAATCGGGCGCTATTATATAATACAGACTATGTAATTTTGATAGCACTTTGTACCAGAACGCTATTATTAAACTTCTTTAAGATAGCATTTTGTATAAAACGCTATTATTTGACTACCTATATAATAACATTTATTAAAAAGCGCTATCTTATATATAATAATAAATTAATTAATTAATTGATAAAAAAAAAAAAACACATTTTCAGAAAGGTAATCAAAGGCATCCAAGGAGGTTCTCTTTTGTGAGATATAAGGTGCGACTATCCGCTTCGGACACGAAGAAGAGAGGATTGAAGGATCTCGAACATTACCAGCACGGTCGGATAAAAGTTCAACACTTTCATCTTGAATCTTCTCGCGCGCACAACACCTTCAACCTTACAATCTTTTCTCCTTACTTCAATTTTTCGTGGAAAACAAAAGAACCTGAATCCTATCTCGTCGAATGCACCTTCCTGTTTCGTTTTTTTCTTCAACTTGTTCCCGGTGAGTATTTCCATATTTTCTACTCTTTGATATGCATATAAGGTGTTTGTAAATTGTTCTGTGTGGAATGGATTGTGTTATTGTTATGTTTTTGATGAATTGAATGTTGCCATTTGATGCTGATGTGTGTTTTGATTTGGAATAGAGTTTCAGGTTAAAGCTGAATCTGTTGTGATTCAAAGGAAAGTTGCAGTTCGTAATCAAAGGAAAGTAACTTGTTGGCCCTGGTGTTTGAATAATGGCAGATACTATAGTTACATCTGACCAATCTTCTACTTCCTCGCTAAACGCTACCCGAATAATCTGTCATGTGTAAGTGCCTCTGGATTTTATTATAGTTTTTCAAATATTTATTTGGTAGTAAGAATACTGATCAAGCTAATCTCTTTTATACATTTTCATATGAAAATAGATGTCAGAAGCAGTTTTCTCAATACACATGTCCTCGATGCAATTCACGATACTGCTCCCTCCCATGTTATAAAGTAAGTGAAGTTACAAAATTGTTATGTTTGATTTGTGAATTATAATAAAATTCACTCCTTTCTATGAATACTCTAATTAAGTTTTCTTCCTTGTTTGCTATGAACTGCCGTAGTTTTGATCTCTTTTATTGTCGTTTTTACAGCCTCATAGTCTTTGTTGTACTGAATCCTTCATGAAAGAAAATGTTGTTCAAGAGCTCCAGCAAATGCAACCTGATGAACAAACCAAATGCACGAGGTTTCCTTTTCCTTTCATGATTTATGCATCATGATCCAGCAACCTTTTATATGACTATTTTAAACTTTTATATTAATAAGTTCCCATAAATAATGTTTTCAACTCAACAGATTTCATGGATGTCTCCCTAACCAAACTAGTATTCTCGGGAGACCTTTGATTAATGGATAATATTGTGGTAGATAATAATCTATTTTCCATGGTATCACCGCACTTTTAGTATTTAATGCAGACACATGCCAAAGGCAGGGAAAGATCACCGTGTTTGGATTGAGAGAGACCGAGTTCAAAAGTTTCAACTAACTTAAATAATTTCCCCCCATGATAATTGTCAATGACTAACTCTCAAAAGTTTCAGTTGTTAAGTGAAGTTCGTGACTGGTTTTATATCTATAACTAGTTCCTATAATATTTTGAAACCCATGAAACTTTTTATTACCTTTGTGTCTCTATTGGCAGTATTTTAGCATGAAACTTGACATCGGTTGACTGCTATGAGCATGCTTCTATTTTAATTATGGTTCATGTCACTTGTCATGTTAACATTTGTTTTGGTTTACCCTCATCCGAAAAAACAAAATGACTAGGTTCTGATCGAGAAAAGTTAGCAAGTTCAAAAGGAAAATTTGCTCAATACCTTACCGGAATCTTAGAGGTGTATTTCTCTTACCATTGTGACGCATACAACACCAATGGTATGTCTTCATTCTGCATTAAAGAGATAATATAGGCCTAATCATCCGAATTATTAATAGTTCTTTTATACAGGAGTTTACCTTCATGACCCTACAGCGTTGCTTGCAGCCGTTGATCCTTCACTCGTAACTTGCACAGAAGGTGCTGTTAGAGTCCAAACCAGTGGCATAACAAGGGGACTTACAATTCTCTACAATAAACAGAAAAGGTAGAAAGCACTAGGAGTTGATAGCCCTGAAATTTATCTATATGAATGTTAATGCCATTTTATAGCAGTTCTGTCTCTCTCAAAATTTCTCAGAATAGTTTGTAAAGATGCTATGGGATTGCATTGACTCTACCAAAGAAATAGGAATTTTTCAGTGACCGACCTAGTTCTTTAGGGGAAGGAAGTAAACTTTTCGTAAATGGTTTAGGCTGTTGTTTGATAGGAGTTTAGATTGCATTAAAATTTAAATGAATTCCCCGGCCTTTTGTTTATATATTCCTTCTATTTGATTAGGAAGAGCAATTTATGTGAAGATTTCCCAGGTATGCCTAGAACATTCTGTTTCAGATAACTGTTACATTCTCAAGTACACTGCATTAGCTCTGGCCTGGCCAAAATCTACCTTGCTGGACCAAACATGATGACAGGGATAACTACAGAGATACTTCG